TCAGCATTGTGTAAGTAATATAGAAAGTTCTGGAAAAGAAATAGTGAAAACCCAAACCGCCAAGATCCAATGCTAGAACTATCTCTGAGCCACTGCGTGGTGTCATCCTCAACAATGCTTTTTTGGCAGTGAGAGGAAAGTTGGTGCAGGAGAGTGAAGAGGAAAAGAAAGGAGCTGCCTGAGGGAATAAATGTCACTCTGATGTTTGAAGCAAACATTCTAGCTATCAGGTGAAATATATTCTTAAGACATAGAGTTTCTGATCCTGTTTGTGGATTAGAACACCGAACGAGCTCAAACAGGAAAGTGCTTTGGCATATGCTAACAGAATGTCTCTTCAGCACTGTGGACTCCCTGTTCAGGTTAATGGCTCACCTCCCCACCCTGCTGAGGTAATTAAAGTGTTCTAAAGCCCCTTCAGAACTCCAAAATAGTTTCTGTTTGCTGGGCAGGTGATAAATCTCATTGAGCCTGACAGGAATTTAATTACACTTTCTTCATGAAAACACCAGGGATACCCATTACCTGGATCTCTAAAGCTAAAGCCTTGCAGACCCCCCGCAGTTGAAAGGTTACCAAAAACAAGCTCTTCATCATTTAAATGGATGAGAGGCCTCCTTAGCATAGCCAGCTTAAATTGGACTGAAGAAAAGGTAAGATTTTTCACCAGTGCTCAGAAATAGCGCCGTCAGTTTGGCTCCATTAACATCTCACAGAAGATGAAAAAGAAGTTTGTTTTTGTTTTTGTTTTTGGTGGACTTCATTGCTCCACTCTCTGAAGTGTTATAAGATGGAAGTGAGTGTGTTGTCGGACACCTGGATGAACAGCCAAAAAGACATCCCACAGGGAGCAGGGTACTGAGCTAACCTCACCGTGTTCCATGGCTTGCTGTAGCATTGAGTTCATTACCAATTTGGTTAGAAAGAGGAAATTAAAATACAGATGGCTGCTGGAAACCAGTGGGAAAGTTTCATTTGGCATGCTGTTTTCCTACTTACACAGCCGTGCATGGCAACGTAGAGTTTACTCCTCCAGCAACAAGTCATCCAGAGAGGCTGATGTCAAAATGAAACACGGCTCTGGACCCTTATTTCACAACCATCGGCCTGACAAGATGCAAGCCAGGGTAGGGATATGGAGAAAGATCCAGCAAACTCAATCTCCTTCACCCTGCACCCAGTTCTGAATGAATCAGAACTTCGGTTGTGCGCGATTCTGAGACAGACTCCCAGGCTCCCGTGGACCAGGGCTAGCCTTGTAGTTTCCCTGGGCCTGGAAAGGCTATCATATCGGGATATTCACGTGGAGCAGATTCTTATTTACAAATCCTTTTTCTCCAAGCTCAACCCCTGACATTTTCTGCATTATGATTGCATTGCTCATCGGATCTCGTGACACCTTCTAATTTCCCTCACCTGAAAAACATTTTTCACCTGTTCTATTTCTCTATCAACTCCTTCTCCCTATGGAGATTTAACATTTGATGGAATCTTTGGAAGTAACCGAACATCACAAAATCAGGGCTCAGAAACAAATACTCAAGGCCATGAAGGTATTTGGCTCTGCTACTATTTCCAAGCCTCCTGCATATGATTGCATGGATTTATCGTCCCATGGTACAAAATAAGAGTTTGGAGTGGGCTCGCGTAGCTCACACCTAGCGCACTGCCCGTAGCCAGGAGGAGTCCTGGGAACTGCTCACTTTGCCATGTGGTTCTCTTGTTTCCCCTGCATGTCTGCATGTTTTTTGTCTGATTTGAATTTGACTCTCGTGGGATCATTTTGCATGCTTTTATTTGGATTTGTTTTATAATTTAAACATTGTTTTCTTCCTCTGCATCTGTGTTTTTCTTTTTGTTATTTTGTTTTGTTTTGTTTTCACTAGGCGACCCCCTCCTGCAGTTCCAGGACGACCATCCTAACACCCATGATTCATCTCCCTTTGTTTCCAACAACATGTCTATCCATGGTATTTCAAAGCCTTTCATTTGCACTACATGTCATATGTACATAAAAACTTTTATTTTTGATCCATGTCTATAATAAAAACAAAGTTTATTCTATATGGAAATGAAATGTGTTCTGTTTCTTTTTCTAAAGAAAACCCAAATCAAAATAGTTTTTTTCAGCTAAAACCAGGTAAGGGGGAAAATGTGTAATTTGATCTTGTAAGGAGCTTAACTTGAAAAATAGTTAAGTTATTAAAGCATTGTGACTTAAGATGCTCTTTGGTGGAGAACGATAATCTAGCTTCAATTGAAATGTCTGTCCAATAGAAGTATGTTAAGATAGAAACAGGTATTGGCGAAGATGTGGAGAAAAAGGAACCCTCGTGAACTGTTGGTAGAAACGTAAGCTGGTGCAGTCGCTGTGGAAAACAGTATGGAGGGTCCTCAAAAGGTTAAAAATAGAATTATCGTATGATTCACTCATTCCACTACTGGGTATTTATGCAAAGAATACAAAAACACTAATTTGAAAAGATATATGTACCCTATGTTTATTGAAGTGTTATTTACAGTAGCCAAATTATGGAAGCAATGCAAGTGTCCATTGATGGATATGAATGGATAAATAAGATGTGATACACACAAACACACACACACACACATACACACACAATGGGATATTATTCAGCCTTAAAAAAGAATGAGGTCTTGCTATTTGCAGCAACATAGATGGATCTAGAGGGTATAATACCAAGTGAAGTAAGTCTGAGAAAGACAAATACCATGTGATTTCACCCATGTTGAATTTAAGAAACAAAACAAATGGACAAAGAAAAAACGACAAACTGAGCAACCAACTGTTAACTACAGAAAACAAACTGATGGTCACCAGAGGGGAGGTGGGTGGGGGTGGGTGAAACAGGTGATGGGGACGAAGGAGGGCACTTGTCGTGATGAGCACTGAGTAAGGTATAGAACTGTTGAATCACTATATTGTACATCTGAAACTAATACAATACTGTATGCTAATTATACTGGAATTTTTTTAAAAAGTGAGAAAAGTTGAAGCAAAAATTCTAGATATCTAGAAAACACACAGAAGACTGAATAATTTCAACCAGGCTCCAGGGATCCTATTAATAACTGTTATTGCACCAAAACATGTACTCCTGTTTTTATTATTTTCTAAACACTCCTTGTAGGAGATAAATTATGTAAGATCATGGAAAATATTATGGGTCTGAAACACACAAACCTCACACATTCTATTCAGCAAATTCAGGGGAAAATATATCATTCGGAATAAAAGTACAAGGAAATGTTACCACCTTGAGAAGAAAGATTCTTTATGTGTCAGTAAAGCACCGGAAGAATGGAATCTGTATGAGTTTGGAGGAACAGAGAACTTTTTTTATACCTTAATCCTCAAATGGTAACTCCAAAACTGAAATTTTAAGGTACCATTAAAAAAAATCCAAACATTTATCCAAATAAAATGTTTATTATTAAGGTAGGACATCTGCCATATTTGCAATCTCAGCTTTTAAAAGAAGATTTGAGATTTAATTCAGAATTCTCTCCTCGAAGGTTTGCATGATCTAAAGTGCAATTTAAAATGATCTTCTATTGGGTGAGATCACTTCTGTGATCACTTTACCATAGTAAGACAGAAACTACAGGAGAGGACAATAAAAGATTGTTCATCAGGAATCGGGGTCCCATGGACCTCCTGTCTGACCTAGGCATATCCTCACAAAGACAGGCAAAGTGGCAGTTGTGGGCAGGACCCTCCAACTAGAACATGGAGACCCTCACATGCTTTCACTTTGGATCATAAAAATCTTTTATAAGGACTACGCTCTCCACCCAAGAATGCTAAACTAGCTTATTTCTCCGGTTAAAATTTTTATACAGCACATGACATCAATTTTTACTTGTATCTCAGGTCCCGTGACTGTGAGTTAGAAGCACTGGTCACTAAGAAAATTCAAAGGCACCAGAGCAGGGGATCGACTGAGGCTCAAGTATTCCTGGGGGCAACTGGGCTGATGCACAATAAGGCACAGCGTGCAATCCTGCTGGTCCTGCACCTCCAGCCCAGCCACCTGAGTGTTTGGATATACTCTTATTGGACAGCACTCTCATCTGAGAGCATTGCCATCCCAACAGAGACAATGCTCCCGGATTATGTCATACCACCTCCCCAAACAAAAGAACAGGTTGTCCACCGGAAGGTTTTCACCAATTCATCTTTTTTAGGTGTTTGGTTCTTTTCCACTTTGTCTTAAACATGATCTTATCTTCATCTAGTGTTACACAGTTTAAATGTTTAAAGCTTAAACTGACCTGATGAACAATGAGAAAAGAAAGCCCAAATCGCACAAGAATGAAATGATTCCCCAGCAACCCTGCACAGTCTCCACAAAAGTGCCAGCCCTTCCTCACGTTGACGAGGCAAGGAAGAAGGGGTGAATTGGGATGGGGGCGGGGGAGGGGGGAGGAAGCTGCCTGGAGCAGCATTAAACTGTGCTATGGTGGGTTCATATTTATTTAGTATCCGTCGTGGTTTCTGTGTTGCATAATGTACTCTTCCCCAGCTCTCCCTGCCCCCACCTCCACCGTCAGTATTTGAGAGGGTTGAACAAGTGCAGCATCCTTCAGATTTGACTGTAACTCTGGATCATCATGAGGAACCGTTATACCTATAACAAAAGTACTATTTCTTAAATGTTCTCATCCCATTATTTATGCATCAGGCATTTCTTGAATTCATCATAATGTCCTGTTATGTGGTCTGGGAGCACCCAGAGAGAAGGAACAGGGAAAAAGTAGCTTACAAAATAACAATAAGCAATTATTGCACGGTGCTCTGACAGGAGAAAATTTGAGTCCTTTTCCCAGAGAGAACTGTTACTGAGTTCAGTGCTGACGAAGCCACTTAAGTTCTAGAACCCAAATTATCCACCTGACCCAACACATGCTAACATTCCAGAGCACGGTGATTCTGACCTCTGACAAAGAAAGGAACAATAGAACTCATCTCAGCCAATCAGAAACCAGATGTTTTATTTCTAATGGAGTAGCATAATACCAGACTCCAAGTCATGTAAGTGCTGGTTGAGGAAAAGACAGTGGAATTGAGGCTGAAGTAGTCCATGAACCATACGTTGGCTTCTAACAGAAAGCCTTTGAATCAGAAGGCGCTCTGCAGCACTCTGCCCCGGCAAGCAGCGAGGGGGGTTCCACAGTCTCCAGCTAGAAAAATCCAGGACATCCGAGAGATGGGGAAAAGAGAACTAAAGGTAGGAAAAAATAAACAAAACTTCCAATCCTTCCCTTAGGGAACCTCACTGGTAAATAAACAGGGACCACCTATACACAGATGGAAATTGCCACCAACATCCTAGAAGCTGAAAGCCAAAAGAAAAGGAGATAACCTGTGCTCTTCCTTCACAGACATGGACACTGTCGGTGGGCTTGGAGCAGGATATACTTTGAAAGTCTGGATCCCAGAGCTTGAAAATTGTTACAGTATCTATTTCATAGCTCAGCATTAAGTATGATTTAAAAAAAAAAAAAACCAATGATACTGGAATCTTTAGTCCAGCTCTGTGAGATTCTGAAGTAAACCTTTGTAACCGTGAATCCATTTTAAAAACATGAACCTCAGGATACCTGGGTGGCTCAGTCAGTTAGGCGTCTGCCTTCAGCTCAGGTCACGGTCCCAGGGTCCTGGAATGGAGTCCCGCATTGGGCTCCTTGCTTGGTGGGGAGCCTGCTTCTCCCTCTGCTGCTCCCCCTGCTTGTGCGTGCTCTCTCTCTCTGACAAATAAATAAAACTTTAAAAAAAAATGAACCTCACCTACAGGAAGATAAGATTGCTGAAGAAGAAAAAAAATCATTTCCGTAACCCTTTATAATACTACAGTCTATCTGCATAAATCAGATGGAGCTTGCACCCCTGCACTCTACGTCCCCACTGACAGGACAAACCAGCTGCCTCCACCACCACAATTCACACCCTTGTTTGGGGACTTTTTTTTTTTTTTTTTTTACTATAAGTTACTATTGAATCAGATTAGATGGCAGGCTGTGGGATGAGCCAAAACTAATCTGCGACTCTAGTACTGTTTTTAATCAAATCAAGTTTCACAGTATTTTATATCAGGTCCCGGTTTTCAGCCCTGATCACATCGTTGGAGAACCTCATGAACAGGGGCCACGAGCAGGCACAGAGGAAACCAAGCCTTAGCAAACTCCCCGGGCCTCAGGGAGACGGAAGGATCCTCAAGACAGGAATGAAGAAGTCACCGACATGGGTTCTACCGCTCAAAACAGCTCCTAGCAAAGTATGTCTCTCAAGCTTCACCTAACACTCTGGAAAGCCTAGGCTTTGTGGCTCTTCTGGGCTGGATCTGTTGCTCCCACTTCTCATCTCCGAGGGAGCCTCTTGGAAGGCAGCAGAGAAGGCGTTAGAGCCAAGGAGACAGCTCCTCTGCCTGCTGGCTTTTTCTCTTTTAAAGACAAAAATACAGCTTGCACACGCGAAAGCTGCCCGGGGCCTGAGCATCTGCTTATTTTGCAATTTAAAAGGAGTGGGAGGCCCACAGTGTTCTCACTGAGCAGCGTCCAAATGTTACTTGGGCTCTGCACAAGGCCACAGGGCCGGCCCGGAGTGGGGAGCAGGGAGCCAGCAGGGCTTGGGAAAGCAGGGGCCAGCTTTTTGCCGGGGCCCCGAGGGACCGCTGCTTCCCTCGACCTCTGCATTGGCAAAATCAATTTGTTCCATTGTCCCAGCAACATATGGTCAAGGGATTGTAGGGCTAGTCTGTGTAGGGCACAAGACCTCAGGCTGATCCTGGGTGTCATTTGAACCCGGGCACCAATTGGTGCCAGATGGTGGCAGAAAAGGCCGTTTGCCTTTCTAAGCCCCTTCCTCTGGCACTTGGGCCCCTGCATTACCCGATGGGCGTGAGGAGGTACCAACACCCCGATGCTGCCAGGCCCCCGGTACTGAGGAAATGTTGGGCAGTTGGGAAGCAGAGGCTTCCTAACCACCTCCTCTCTGGGGGAGCCCCCGTTACTCACAGTAATGTATCTGGGAGGAAAATGGTGTTTGGGTTTGGTTGGTGATGGCTATTGTTTCCTGAGGTAAATAGACCAACATTCATCACACCTGTGAGCCGAGAAAGACGACAAAAAAAACAAAAACAGCCCAGAGCGTTAGCATGGTCTAAGCTCGCTCGCCCAGCCCCAGCGGGTCTCCCCTGCAGCTAAGCTGTCCAGAGCCGTCCCCATGGCCACGGGAGCGTGCCTCCTTGGGACTGACCATCCACAGGACCTTGGCCAAACCCTGCCTCTTATCAAAGCTTTGATCTCTTTACCCAGAATTAAACTTTCTAGAAGACGGCAAGTGGCACGGCCCCACCGATGGAAGATTGCACAGTTCTCAGGAATTTGGTGTCATTATCCCCAAAAGGCTCTTGCTAAAATGTGCATCACCCAGAGAATTAACACATTAATCCCATTAGCAAGCAATAGTAGCACGTTCGTGATGACGTGAGGAAGCCTGCACACTCAGACCCCACCTCCCTCCTGCCCACCGACACTTGAGTTCTCCCCGCCGGCTGCCTTGAACCCACCGGGACTTTTATGATGAGCCCTTTCCCCAGCCTATGTCCGTCTTCCAAGATCCCCTAGACCGCTAGGTCCCCCTCCTCCCCGCTCCTCCTCGCCACACGATTCTGGACTCGCTTATGCTGAGCTGCCCTCCCCGGCTTCTGGAACCCTTACCCTGGGCCCTCTGTAATCTACTTTCCCCCATCAGCAAAATCCCCTGTATCTTCAACCTGTTGTCCAGATGTGTCCTTCGCCTTCTTGCTCTGACACCACCTGCATCTCCTCTCGGGGCACCACTCCCCCTTCAGTTGTCTCAGAAGGTGGGAGCTTGTGCCCCACAGCCCTCCTACTGCTGAACCTGAGGGGCCGACTCCTCTTTTCACTTTTGCTTTCAGACCACTCTTCCTCCGTCCGCCCTAAAACCCTCAGCTTTGAGCCTCAGACAACAGCACATACTACCCCTCGCGGTTGCTTTGAGCCAGCAACCCCTAGTTCACGTTCCCTCATTCCTTGATGATGTTAGCTCCTCTTCCCTGTCATTAATTCTCGGGGATTTCACAGAGGTATAAATTATCCTTCCAACATCCCAGCCCATCCATCCCTTCTTATTTTCTTGGACTTCACTTCTCCAGTGATGCTGCCCCCAACTCTACCTCAGCTACTCACTCCCAGACTGATAGCCTTGTCTTTCTTTATTCTCTGCTCTTCACTTCCTAAGCTCCTAACTGCTTGGACTCCAATTCATTGATCTTCTCCCTGCCCTTCACCCCCATTACGGTTCACTCTCCTTCTTACCCAACTAAACGCCATGGTCGATCCCTATAATCATGCCCATGTGTGTGTACTCTTCTCCCTTGTCTTCCTCTCGATTTGATAAAACCACCACCCTGAGGATATTCAACTCTCCACCTCCTCCGCTTTGCACCCGTGTACGTGTACGCGGTCTGGAAAACACACACACATACAACCAAGCTAATTAGTTTCGCTTTAAAGTCATGATCACCACATTCAAGTGAGCCTTTAATCCTGCCGAGCAATTACACTAACCATCCCTAGTTCATTCACTGCCCCAACTTCCTAAACTATCTCCTACCTTTTCTCTCTTCACTCCCCCAACACTTCCTCCCTTATCCTCACTCCCTGCTGATTCTTTGCCTCCTACTTCCCTAGGAAAATTGAAGCAATCAGAAAAGAACTTCCAAAAATCCCCATCACCTCATCGACCCAGTCACCATCTACCCTCTCACCAGAGCATTTCTATGTATCTACCTTCCACTTGTTGCCATAGGTAACGGTCCTGTCCTCTGGCCAAAGCCAGGCTCCCCACTCGGGCACGAGACCCCCTCTCCTCTCAAAGGCTCAAGAATATTCTCACTGTCCTCACATCAACTACTGCTTTCTATTGTTTCATTGCCATCAGCATACAAACCTGGTATCATTTCTCCCATCTTAAAAAACAAGTTTCTTGTCCTCACCTCCCCTTTCAGGTTCTGTCCTGTTTCCTGGTCCGCCTTTGAAGCAAAACTTCTAGAAAGTTGCCTGTACTTGCTGCTCCAATTCCCCTTCTCTTTTCTCTCTTAAACCCACCCCAAATAGGTTCTTACCACCCCCCCCCCCCCTCCACCAAAAACTGCTCTTTTCAGCACCACCGGTGACTCCCTCCCTGCTAAATCCAATGGTAAATTCTGTCCCTATGTTACTTGATTTACCAGATTTTCGTCTGATCACAGTTGATCATCTCCTCTCCCTCGAGTCATCTGCACTTGGTTCCCAGGACTCCAACTTCCAAATCAATTTGCTTATTCTTCTCTCCAACCTTTTAATGTGGAGTTCTTGGTCCTCTTCTTGGTTCATATCAACTTCCTTGATGATCTCTCTCCTTGATGATAGTCTCATAGCATTTATATACCAACAATTCCCAAATGTACATTTCCATCCCATACATTGCTCCTAAAATCCAAACTCATCGAACTCCCTATTCAACCTTTCAGCCCTTACGTCTACATTTCATATCCTACATGCCTCAAACTGATTTTCTTCCCCAAAATCTCCACCCATATCCCCTTGGCACCCAGCTCAATTGATCACATCTCTTTCAATTTGCATGGGCCAAAACCCTTAAGAGTCACTTACGCTTCTTCTCTGTTTTCATACCCCACAACTAGTATGTCGAGAAGCCCTTGACTCAACTCTGAAATTATATCCAGAACGTGACTTGTTTTTGCCATTTCTGCTATCACTCTGTTCTGAGCACCATCAACCTTTGCTTGGATGACTACAAGCGCTTCCTAATGCTTCTTTCTGCTCTGGTCTTGCCCCACAGCAACCGGAATGCGCCTTCCAAAATGTATGCCAAATCACATCCCTCTTTTTCTCCAAGCCCCTCCAATGGCTCCCATCTCTGAGTAAAAGCCAGAGTCCTTTTACTAGCCTGTAGGGTCACACGTGATCTAGAACCCCACATTACCTCTTTGGCCTCGTCTTTTGTCCCGTTTGGTCACTCCATGTCAGCCCCTCCTTGCTCTCCCCCAAATATGCCAGGCAGCCTGGGGCCTTCTGCCGGCACATTTACAGCAGCTCTTCCCTCTGCCTGGAATGTTCGTCCCTTGGGAATCTGAATTATTCGCTCACCTCCTTCAGGTCTTTGGTCAAATGTTACTTTTTCCATGAAACCTACCCTGAC